TGTGTACTACTGTTTCATGAGAAACTATTTGTTCTGTAAGCCTTCACCTGAAGTACAATAAAATATAAATAAATAAATAAATAAATAAAGAACCCCCTGTGGCAGTCCTCCACTCCCCAGGCACCCTCTCAACAGTCTTCCTCCCCACTGCAGACCCCCAACCCCTCACAGCTCCTCTCCCCTCACCACCCCCTCCCTGCCACAGTACCCCTTCCCACTGCATGGCCCCAAGCCGTCCTGTCTATCACTTCAAGACGATGGCAGCTCCTCACGCCTGGCACCCACCTTGAACCAGTCCGTGTAAGGCGGGAACATGGTGGGGCCTTCCAGTGCAGCCTGGCGTATGATCAGGAAGGCAGGGACCAAGCTCTCCGGGTCAAAGCTCTCAAACGCGTGGGCCACCAGGCGGGCCACCCAGTCTGGGGAGAAGTGAGTTATGCAGGGTGAGGGTCCAGCAGGGAGAAGTCACAGCTCTGTCAGGCCAATGAGTCTAAACATCACTTTCTGAGTCTGGACACAACAAGAGCACACCAAATGCATGCCACAGGGACACAGCCAAGGCTGTGATAGGGACCAGCAGCCTCACGGACACAGCTGAAGCCATGATAGGGACCAGTGGCCGCATTGATACAGCTGAGGCTGTGACTAAGGACTGGTGGCACCTGCCGACCCCAGGATTGGCACACCCACACCACAGGGGAGTGATAAGGTGTCCAAGAGGATGCGGCAAGGGGTGGAGACTCGGTCCTGGGCTGGCACCAAGGGGGTTCATGGGGGACCCTGTGCCAAGTAGCCGGACCTCGGCAGCTAACTGGACCACAGACCAACGATGGGCTCTCCGCTCATCACCCGAGCTCCCAGTGAAGTAGAGGGGATGGTGCTTCCGCCCGCCATCCGCGCCCCTTCTTGTGCACTAATTAGCTGGCTGTGAGAGCAGGCATTTGGCAATACTGGTACACAAATCACATACATGGACGCACAGGCACATACATGGACACAGACACTACATGCCATGGGCCGCTGCTGACACATACCTCTGACTAGCTGTTGCGCGTCTGGGAGGCAAACGACCAGGGTGGACATGCAGGAAAGCACATGCCGCCAGTTCACCTCGTGCATGTCCAAAACCTCCTGCATGCAGCCAAGCAGCTCCTCAGGACTCAGCACTGAAAAGAGCTAAAACAAAAGCGGCCACTCCCTTAATATCAGAGCACACCTCGTCAGCAGGGTCTCATCTCTCACCTCCCCCGCAGCCACCGCACACCCATCAGAAAGGTGCCAAAGCCATGGGCGCAGCCACCCAAGACACTGGACACTGGCTTCCCTCTCCGTGGCTGTCTTGGCAAGGAGGCATGAGAGCAGATGCATGCCAGGTGACCTGGCCCCAGTGCAGACGGCCTGTCAGGTTAACTCCTAACCCCATCTGGCGTCTGCATCAGCCGGCTGACAAGGGTTTGGAACCTGCAGATGTGAAGTCCCACTGCCCGCACACAGCAGCAAGGGGGTCGCACAGGAACACGCACCCTGCGGTACAGGCTGGTGAGCAGAGGGGAGGTCCTCACAAAGGTCCATTCTCTTTGCATCTGGATGGCGTCAGACACTGCACTCGGGAGAGACCACCAACACGTCACATCAGCAGCACCAGTCAGTGTGCTCCAAAACTTCAATGACAAAAATCACCTCGTTTTAACCAGCATTTAATTATCAGTGAAGTTGACCTTTTCTGTCAACTATTTTCTCTGTTAGGAAATGTCTGTGTCTTTTGCCCAGTCACCTACTGGAACCTTAAGAGTTTTTCCACAACTTGCACAAGTTATTTATGTAATAAAAGCAGCCATCCTTTGTCCAGCCCATCAGGCACGTTTAAATTCTGCTGTGTCTACACTTTAAATGGTCAACACCCAGCACTGGCTGGGCAGGAGCTGGACACTCTCCATCTGTCGGGGGCATAGCTGTGCCTGTCGTTCAGCTCAACGACTGGCCCTGGGGACTCGCTTCTGACCATAGGTGAGTGTGGGAACCTGGAGGGCACACCACTGACCACAGGTAAATGTGGCGACCCCAGGGACATGCCACCAACAATGGGTGAGCATGGCAAACCTGGGGACATGCTCTTGACCATGGGTGAGCATGGCAACCCTGGGGACATGCTACTGACCACGGATGTGCATGATAACTCTGGGACACGCTATGACCATGAATGAGCGAGGCAAACCCGGGAACCCACTACTGACCATGGGTGAGTGTGGTGAGCCAGGGCTTACTGCAGCTGTGTCTACATGAGGAAGTGCAGGAAGCAGTCACGGTACCACTGCTCCCACACTGAGCACATTCAAGAAAATACTGTAGCTGCACAAGATGTTTACGATACAATGGTACACTGAACCATACATGGCACCTGCAATGATACCTGTGTTTTTAACAACCTGTGTTAAAAATGACCAGACACACTTCATGGTGGTGGTGGGCTAAGTGACAATGCTTCTCTCAACTCATCTTTAGTCTAAATCTCCCCTATGAGATGAGCCACTTCTAAAATGGGGGGGACTCCAATTAGTGAAACAGAGGGTCCGTCACCATCCCCAGGGGTCCTGGGCATCCATACCCCGCCACCCACGCATCACCAGTGTCACCTGCACAGGGCTGTCACCATGACCATCGCAGCAGGGAGCGACCTGGGGTCCCCAGTGTGTAAGCCTGTATCACCGAGGTCACTGTGTCCCCAGGGGCTGTGACCGTACCCCCCACCAGGTACCCACCTTTCAGCACGGGGTTATAGGTGAGTATCTGCATCAGGGTGTGGCTAAAATATCTCTTCAGGGTCTCTGTCGCGATTACACTGCAGTACATGTGTCCACTGAACACAGTGAGCCTACAAATGTGGGAGTGGGCTCAGGAGGCACAGTGGCCACCCCCTAGGTGGCTGAGGTGAACCAGCACTGACAAGGGCTGTCTCTACGTACAAGAGAGTGAAGCCACCACAGCACAGCGGCCACAGCCCCAGGAGAGTCCCCCACACCCTCCTTCATTAAAGCCTGGACAGGCTCTCCCCGTCACACCCTGTAGCCCCACAGACTTCAGGTGGAGCCAAAGTTCAGTTTTAACAAAAAAGATTGTTATGGGACCTATCAAATAGAGTCAGGAAGGAGTGAGGAAGGGTTGGGCTGCGCATGGGACAGGCTACCATGCAGGACAGGCTGCCATGCAGGATACCATCAGGGCCACATGCCATCCACAGAGGATGAGGTGTTGGGGACGCTACAGCTTCCAGTGTCTCAAGGGAGGTTGACTATCCAAACTGTTAGGTGACATCTGATTTTAAAATGTTGGCAACTAATTAAAACATTTACAAGCCAGCAAGCAGAGGGAGGATGGCTGGTGGTTCGGTTCGCAGCAGGAGGCAGAAGTGAGAGGCGACTCGAGGGGCGAAGGGCTGCCCTAGGGCACAGGGTGCGGACAGGGGTCAGGCCCAGAAGGTATGACTCCAGTGGACGGAAGATGACCCTGCAGGGAGGGGACCAGCCTGCCACCTCACCTCCAGAGACCTCTGGTGCGTTCCACTGCCCCTCCCTGCCACATGCTGCAGTGGCCTAGATTGTGCTGAGTTCATCATGGGAACACCCACCTACCCAGTTACCTGCAGGGACTCACCAGCATTGTGCGGGCCCAGGCGCCACAGACACGTCCTGCTCTCCAGCAGCCAGAGCTTCAAGGGAGGCTGGGGACAGACGTGGGGACAGGAAACAGACATCAGCTCCAAGGACCCCAGGACTGCCCTGCCGTGCTGAGCAGCTCTGCAGCAGAATTCAGTAAGTACCTCTAGTTCTTGCCAATGGGAAGGACAACAAATCACCAGTAATTCCTTTGGCCAGTGTCAATGACAGCCCTGGGCTCACCACATTAAACTGCACAAGAACCCCAGCAGGTGATGTGCTCCCCATGGCTAGCCCTGGACAGGCATGTAGGGTGTGATGACGTGGGGAGGGAGGGGGTCATGCAGGGTGCTGACATGGGGAGGTAGGAGGCCTCGCAGGCCATGGCCATAGAGGCACGCTTCCACATGCCTTCTACTGTCTGACCCACAATAATCTTTCCTAAAACATCCCAGATACTCAGGTAACTAAAAACAAGTGCCCAAGCCATGCTTTCTCTGGTGATTTCAACTTAACAATAGAGATTAATTTGAAAGAAAAAATGTTTACTATTTGCTCATCTACAATGCATGTCTTCTCTTAACAACTGAAAATAGGAAACAATAGAGAAGTCACTCCCACAATTACTAACAGCAAGGACTTATGTTCCAGGGCATCAGAATACGGAACAATGAGATGCTTCGCAATTCACCTGAGGTGACCTGGCCTTGTGCCGCAGCTCAGTAAGTGAAAACTGGAGCTGGCAGAACTGAGAGAGTGGAGGTGAGTTTAGCTAATGACCACCAGAAAGCAGCCTCAGCACCAGGATGCTACAGGGAGGTGGACACAGGGAATGCTGGACCTGCTAGCAGGAAAAAACAACCCTCAGCGCACTGGCAGGCACTCACCATTCAGCAGGCTCTGCAGAACTGCGGCAGCGACCTGTGGGGACATGGACCATGTTACTAAGCAATACACTTGGGCACAAACCTGCACTATTAATGCTCCAGCCAGGATTTGGGCTGAGGTGCTGCAGGCCCCCCAGAACCCATGACCCAGTAAATGCGGAGCAGCACCGCGTAGCAGGTTTCCTCCGAAGTCCTGGGGGTGAGGCCTGCGCGGCCATTCCAAGTGCAGCCAGGCCTCTCACCTCTACCCATCCTGTTCCCCTACCTGGGGCAGCTTCTCCTGCTCCACATTTCTTTTCAGATCCAAGTTTTCCTGAAATCCCCTCAAAACAAACATCCGCACAAAATCTGAAAATGATAAAACCGAAATATTTACACACATGATGGTCTCCATGTACCCTCTGTGAACCATGCAGATCCCCCTCCAGGGAGTGGTCCGCATGCCATGGGCTGCAGCAGGACCTGAAAAGCCAGACACCGCTAAGCCTAACATGGGTGAGGCTGCCCACCAGCCAAACCTGGTATCTAACCAGACTTCTCCTTGCTATTCTATTTGAAAAAGAAACATCCCTAATTCATCAAGTGTATTTTAAGGATTTTTTTTTTCCTCTTAAAACACACAAAATGGCTGTCCATTTCCAAGGGCTGTCGTGGGCAACACTGCCCGCCAATCTCCTACTCCAAAAACAAGTTACATTTATAGAGGGACCGGAAGCACCATTCTGGGGAAAGAAGCAGGAAATGGGCTCACACCTTTTTAAAAGATTACAATCAAGGGAATTGAAATGAAAAGGATTTTCTGCAGAATCTTCAATTAATCAAAATGGCAGACCGCTAAAGCCTTTTAGTTAAGTTGTTGTTTCACTATATTTTGCTTTTACAGACTTTTTTTTTTAAATTCAAAGGCATCCTAAAGACAGTGATGTTTAAACTATCCGGGACTAGGTTACAGAAGCAATAGGAATCATAAGCAGCTAACACCACCAACAAGATTTTAGAAAAAATATCTTTTTAGGAATACATCTTTTGCAAAGGAAAAAACCCACAGAGTACCCTTGTGTGGCAACTGTGCATGGTTTGTGGCACCTGTGTGGAACATGCCACCTCTAACTTTTCACTGATTTGCACATTTTGTGTCCTCAACCCTGGGAGAGGTGGGGTCTACTGGCTAGGAGCAGGGAGAGCAGAGTGGCCAGGTCACACTAGGGGAAAGATGTCTAACACTCAACAGTCACTGTGCCACCCCCTCCACCCTGCCCCACCCAAGCCCACCAGGATGACTCACACTGGGTCCACTTGGCCATGGGTAGACAGGCCTGCCTCCCACAGGCTGAGCCTGCACTCACCAGCAAGCACAGCTCTGGCGACATCAGCAGATGGGCTTGGCGCTTCCATCTGCTCACACAGAAGGCCCAGATTCCTGCACAGCCAGACCACCAGGGCCTGCATGTCCGAGTGCCTGGAGATACAAAGCACAGCTGGCATCAGCATGTCACTGTTGCTGTCAGTGCACTTTCTTCAACCCTCACTTCACTAGGACTCATGGGCCTGAGTACACATAGGTGGCTGCCTAAGGCCTCGGCCCACAGCTCAGGTATAAAGGGCTCCCAATGGGGCCAGCCAACACAGGGCACCAGGGAAGGGGGTGCCGACCAGGCCTGTACTGAGGCTGAGGCCCACTAAGCAGTCCACCCTACTCCACCGAGTACCCCCTTCCCTTCTCATGGAACTACTTACAGCTCCCAGCCCGAAGAGCAGATGGTCCAGGCGAGGATGGGCGGGAACAACCATCTCAAAATCAAAACCTTCCTCATGCTCACTTGCAGTCACTCCCTGTTCCCACTCCTAGCCAACTACTAATCTACTTTCTATCTCTATAGGTTTACCTACATTTTCAAGACGTTTCATATAAACGGAATCACACAATTCATGTCCTCGTGTCTGGCTTCTTAAACTGAGCTTAACGTTTTCAAGGTTCATTCACAATGCAACATGTATCAGAACTTCATTCCTTTCTATGGCTGAAAAATATTCTATTGTACGGATCTACCCCTTTTTTTATCCACTCATCAATTAACAGACACAGGTTGTTTCCACCTTTTGGTTATTATAAATACTGTTGCTGTGAACATCCATATACAAGTTTTTGTGTAGGAATATGTTTTCAATTCTCTTGGAGTAGAATTGCTGGGATATAATAACTTTGTTTTAACACTTGGAGGAACCATTGAACTGTTTTCCAAAGTAGTCACACTATTTACATTCCCACAAGCAATGTTCGAGGTTCCAATTTCTCCATATCCTTGGTAACACTTGTTATTATCTGTCTTTTTTATTATAGCCATCTTAGTGGGTCTGAAGTGGCATCTCATTGTGGTTTTTATTTGTAGTTCCCTGATGACTAATGACATTGAACATCTTTTCATGCACTTATTGGCCATTTGTGTATCTTCTTTGGAGAAATGTCTACTCAGCTCCTCCGCCCATTTTTAAACTGGACTGTCTTATACTCTAGATACTAGACTCTTATCAGATATATGATTTGCCAATATTTTCCCTCATTCTGTGAGTTGTCTTTTTACTTTCTTAGTAGTGTCATTTGACTTACCAAAGTTTTTCAATTTGACGAAGCCCAATTTATCTACTTTTTCTTCAATTGTTTAGGTGTCATCTAAGAAACACTTGCCTTAATCCAAGGTCATAAAATTTACACGTATGTTTTCTTCTAAGAGTTTTATACTTAGCTCTTACACTTAGGTCTCTGATTCAATTAAGTTAATTTTGCATATGGTGTGAAGTAGGGATCCAATTTCATTCTTTTGCATGTGAATAACCAGTTACCCGAAAACCATTTCTTGAAAAGACTATTCTTTCCCCATTGGTCTTGGTGCCCTTCCTAAAAATCAATTGGCCATAAATGTATAGTTTTATTTCTGCATTATCAATTCTATTCCTTTAATCTATATATTTACCCTTATGCCAATATCACACAGTCTTGACTGCTGTAGCTTTGTTATAAGTTTTGAAAATGGGAAATGAAAGTCCTCCAACTTTGTTCTTTTTCAAGATTGTTTTGGCTATTCTGGGTCCCTTGCATGTCCATATCAATTTTAGGATCAGCTTATCAATGTCTGCAAAAAAGCCACCTGGGATTTTGATAAGAATTGCACAGAATGTATATATCTATTTGGGGAGTATTGCCATTTTAAAATTACCTGTCTCTTTAGTTCTTTAAAACATTATTATCACAAGATATATCTTACACAAAGAAAACATTGCCAAGTCCGTGCATGATAAGGATTTCAATTGCCAGAAATAGTCTCTTTAAATAATAAAATAATAGGTTTTTAAGGTGATTCTTGGCTCTGAAATAGAAATAATTCACATTGGACTAGGTTGCAAAAAATAAACCATGTAATATTTAAGTAAGGCTAAATTACCATTGGTACACTACCTTTCCAGCAGCTCTTGTAGGCTCACAATATTTTGTATATGAAGATGCCACACAGCTTCAAGCGCCAAAGGCTTCTGAAGAAAATAACAGTACTATCAGTCATTTACATGCAAGTTTTCCTATAAAATGTTCAAGCAGGGTTGTTAACCATAACGCTTTATTGAAAATTAGAGTAACAAGCACGTCTGAAATATATGTTTTACACACATTCCCCACAAATGCTCTGCTCATGTCCTGACCTGTGTTTTAACAGGCTGCTTCCTTCCCATTGCCTATGTTGCCCTCACTTCTCTATCCAGCCAATGCGTACTCTTCCTTCAAAATCAGTGCAACTTCCAGCTATTCCAGGAAGCCTTTCCTAACCATTCAATCTGATACATGTGTCCGCTCTTCTTTGTACACCTGTGAACACCTGTATAATCGCAATTCATGTATGTTTAGTTGCCTTTTCCCCCAACTAGACAGTAATCATTGAGTGCAGGGACCACACTGGTGTCAGACAAATCAAGTGAACCCTATAACGTATGCTGCATGAGAGAACAGGGAAAAACTCCACATGACAGTCACCTTGGTTTTTTCTTTCTGTTTTCTATGTACTTGCTGAACTTATTTAGTAACACAAGGTAGACACTTTGAGTTCTTTTAGCCCTTCAAAAATCTGTAAACCTACTGAGTTCAAAATTTTTCAAAAAAGAGCAGATAAGTATAATTTTTAAATTACATTTTCCTAGTTTACTAAACTGCTCTGGAGAATGCTTCATAATAATATACCTAAGAAGGTTGAGTACCATGTTTTTGTGATGTATTTTATTCTAATAAGTGTTATTAACGATGGGTGGATACTGACACATGTAGCAATTCAAAGTATTTCTTTCCCATCCACAGAGATATATCTTGCACTGTTTTTTGTTTTTTTCCATTCTCTATAATTAATCAGATGCTTGGTAGAATTCCTGCAAATGCCTAGAGATGCTGTTGGCTCCATCCAAATCAACAGAACACAGGGTGAAAAAAACTATAGAGTCAGAAACACAATCTCAAATTTACCTGCACTTTCCATAATTCTTGACAGAAGGAGAGACGGCAGAACATACTGTTTGCCAATAAATACTGAGCAGTCTCTATTAAGGAAGACAGTTTCTTCTGAAAAGAGAAATTTTTTTCAATAGGCAAATACCTAGAATAATAGTAAAGAAATGTTCCTTTTTTCTGAACAAGTACTAATTAGCACCTGCTTCCCTCTCTGTGCTGGCATCTTACCCTCTGCTCCAAGTTGAGCAGCACAGTGGGACTGGATAGCCCTGTGGTCTCACATATCTCTCCAATGCTAGAGGCAGCCATCCTGGCTGACAGGATTCCCACTGGAACCCCCAGCCTCGAGGCTTGATCCTGCAAAGCAGAGCCTGAAAGACAAAACAAAACCATTATCCTTCTCTTAAAACATGGTTATATATACAACAAAATTTAACACAGAACACTTGCAGCTAACAATGCCTTATTTTAAGTTCTAGTGCCAAAGAAAACTGCCTTTTGAAGGGAAGAATAGATCTATAGGGGAAAACACGATAAAATTAAGACACTTTCACTACTGAAGCAGCTGACAAGAGGATCATCTTAAGTCCACATACAAATCTGTGTGTTCTGTGTGATATAAACTGCAGTTTAGTAGACATATCATGACCAAGAACTTTATCATCTTTTCCCAAAGGAGGACAACAATGTGAGAACTCTAACGAGATCTTTATATTAATTCCTGTTTTTCTAACGACTTCAGTGTCAGAGGTGCACCTGCTCTCACTGACCTCACACTGAAGTCTGAGCCTATCTGGGTCAGGGTTTCCTAAAGCTCCATCATGCACCCAACATGGGGGCAGCGGAGAGGTCACAAATGCACTATCTGCAGGCTGCCAGGCAGAACTGGGAGCTGGACCCAGAAGCAGCCACCAGTCTCCTGAGAGACCAGTCTCTGGTCTGAGTTCAAGAGAATGAGAAACTCTGGCAGCACGGGAAGAGGTAATGCCTATTTCATTTGACTTCCAAAACTAGGTTTCAAAAAGAAAAATAAAAAACTGTTTATAGTATATGCACTTTATTTTCAAGGCTCTGAAAATGCTTACACAGTACTAATATCATAGTTATAGCGGCCTCAGATGACAGTATTAGAAACTATCAACTGCTATGGCCAAGAAAGAATTTATGGTAGAAAATAATGCCAATTTCTAGCCACTTATTTCCATGGGAAAGTTTATTTCTGCTTTTATTTACAAGGCTAACTTTTACTTTTTTAATATAAATATGAACAAGTATGGCAGCCAATATCTTCAGCAGGAAAAAGAACTAAAAAATTCTTGAATTAAGGGTCTATTTATATTTCTGTGGTGAGCTTAAGAGCTTCCTTACATACGTCCTTATGCCTTGATTCAAAAGCCCATACAAGAGAGTGTGGCTGAGCTTGGTTCCCTGAGAAGATGATGCATAATTTGGGAAATTCAAATAACAATTATGGCAATGAAAAGCAGTATCATTCATCAGTGACCTTTAGTAATCAGTTGTCAAGGCAGGCCTATTATTTTACTAGAAATCTAAAACAAATTAATGAATTAAATAATGCCTCTTTCTGAAACAAGTCATTACATAATAACAAAAACTTCCCCTGGATTATACTCTCAAACCTGGAGGGGGCGGGGCATAAGCACCTAGAAACATATTCTGGTTCCTGCTTTCTCTCCTGCCCCCAGTACAACCCGTTTTCACAACTTCCGTGAACAAGGTGCACATCTGTCGTTACTGTTCCATGTGCTTCTGAGCCCCATGCTGAGTCAAACTACTTTTAAACAATAGCATCATTAATGAGCCAAAGGCAAGTCACAAAAACAAGTCCTATAGTTCAAGACCACATACATAAGTTATTGTTGCTGGTGTTAGCTGCTGTCAAGTAGGTTCCAACTCACGGTGACCCCATGTGTGGAGAGTAGAACCGCTCCACTGGGTTTTCAAGACAGTGACCTTTCAGAAGCAAATCGCTAGGCCCTTCTTCCGAGGCGTCTCTGGGTGAACAGAACCACCAACCTTTGGCTAGTGGTCGAGCACTCAACCATCTGAGTCACCCAGGGACTCCATACATACATAAGTAAAAAACCATTATTTTGGAGAAATTATATTTCTATATAAATCATGGTCACTTCACGTAAAAAGCCCTCTGTAACCCCACATATTACGAAAACGAAGCTGTAACTCACCTATAAATGAAGTGGAAGGACTACTGTAGGCCTCAGAACTGTCACAATCAATGTATTTGCTGAGACACAATTTTTTACACTGTGGACCTTCTACCTAGAAACCAAAACACAAAGAGATCCATTTTTATAATCCAACCTGTGTGTACACAAAAACAACCTGTATATATATATAATGCTTGCCAACTGGGAGAGTCTCAAATATTTTGAAGTACGACATTTTAAAAAGTGAGACTTACTAAAAAGACTTTTGAGAATTATTATTCATTTTCAACTTCTTTTATCTCCAAAGAGATAAATGCTCCCATTTTTTTCTCTCACCCAGTCAACATTTAATGGGTACTTTACCAGATACAAGGAGCCCTGGTGATGCCATGGTTAAAACACTAGGCTGCTAACTGAAAGGTTGGTAGTTTGAACCCACCAGTTGCTCTGCAGGAGAAAGACGTGGCAGACTGCTTCTGTAAAGATTACAGCCTTGGAAACCCTATGGGGCAGTTCTACTCTATCCTACAGGATCACTATGAGTTCAAATCAACTCAACAGCAATGAGTTTGGTTTTGGTTTTTTTTATCCAATAGTCACTAGGCTTCCAAGTAACTTTTTATGAAGATTATGCCTTGGCTGGGTCCAGAAAGCCCAAATGTCAGGGTGGAGCCAACATGGTGCCCTAGACCAACGCACTGTGCTGTCCCTCTGCAGCAAAACTAAGTAAAACAGATACAAATGTCAAACCTGGAACCCTAAGCATCAAATGAAAGGATAAAGAACTAGATCAAACACCGAATGGAAGAAGAAACTGACAGAAAACAGAGAACAAGGAGAGATACAGAGTGGAGATCCTCTGCCAACTGACATGGCACAGCATGGCTATCTTGAAGTATAGCCAGCAACGACCCAGACAGGGAGTACAGGAAGGAAACTTCAGAGAGCTCCCAACAGGAGACAGAGAACCTAGTCACCAGAGAAAGATGCTTTCACACCCCTCACCCTTCTGTTGAGTAGAGAAGCAAGAACCCCCCATCCTGGCAACCACCACCCCCCGCCAGGACCACCCTGCCCACTCCCACCATGTGGTTTTTTTCTCTCACTCTTTCTTCCTTTTCTTTCTCCCTCCCACCTAACCCCGTTTGACACTTTCCCCAACTTCCCGCTGGCCCTCACCATGCCACCATGGCTAGAGAGCCACCAGCCCGCAGATGCCCCAGGTCCGCCCCACCCCCACCTGCTGGCTCCTGCCACATTGCCTTTTTCTTTCTTTTTTTCTCTTTCTTCCTTTTCTTTCTCCCTCCGTATGACACTTACCCCCCTTCCCGCTGGTCCCTGCCACACGCACCGCTGTGACTAGAGAGCCACCAGCCCGCCACTGCCCCAGGCCATCACACCACTTGCCATGCTGCAATTTTTGTTTCTTTTTTTTCTTTCTCTCTCCAACCTAGACCCATACATCACCTCCCTTCCCTTCCCACCAGACCCCAGGTCCACCCCGTCCCTACTCGACGGCCCTCACCATGCTATTTTTATTTATTTAAATTTTTTCTCTTTCTTCCTTTTCTTTCTCCGCCCCACCGAGCACCGTATGCCACCTCCCCCTCTTGCCACAGGCCCCCACCACACCACCATGGCTAGAGAGCCACTGGCTTGCTGCCGCCCCAGGTCTGCCCTGCCCCACTGTTGCCGTTTTTTAAAATTTTATTTCTTTCTCCTTCCCACCTAGCCCCGTACATCACCTCCCTTCCCGACCCACTGGCCCCTGGGTCTGCCCCGTTGCTCCCTGCTGGCCACCAATGCACCACTTTTTAAAATTTTATTTCTTTTTTATTTTTCTTCCTTTTCTTTCTCCATCCCATATAGCCCCGTATATCATCTACCCTCCTCCCCGCTGGCCTCTGGTCCGCCCTGCATCTACCTGCTGGCTACAACCATATCGCCCCCTTTATTTCTTTTCTTTCTTTCTCCCTCTCACCTAGCCCCATACCCCACCTCTCCCTCTTCTCGCTGGCCCCCACTGTACTGCCACGGCTATAGTATTCCTGTCGCTGAGACCCACCGCTGCTTCGGGCCTGCACCACCCCACTCCTCCTGCCACTCAACCAGCTACTGAACAGTGGAAAGTAAGCCCATACTACAACCCCACCCATCTGGTGAAGGGATAAGAACGCTCCCACACCACTGGACCAACATCAGGAGGCAGACAGCATTCACTTAGTCCACCCTCAGCCATCTCGCTAAAGCAGTGTACAGAGAAGTGAACTTGCCCAGCCTGCTGCTGCCCTGCCTAAGGTGGTGAGAGCTATCGCGCCCACAGATGGTCAGGCAGACAAGCACAGCCAGGATGCCCACCTTGACATATCAAAACAAAACAAGCAGGACGAAACAAATGAACATACAATCAATAAATAAAGAAAATAATACCTTGATATCTCGGAGACAGTAGACAATGTCAAAACATACAAAAAATCAGGACAAGATGGCTTCAGCAAATGACTGAAATAAAGAATCGGATAACCTTCCTGAAGAAGAAAAGGCATTGGAACGACCTGACATGGAATTCAAAAGACTAATATTTAGAGCTCTCCAAGACATTAGGAAAGAGATCAAGGAAAATACAGACAAAACCAAGGAAAAAATAGACAAAATCATGAACAACACAGATAAAACCAATGAACAATATAGCCAAAATCAAGGGCAACACAGACAAAGCATTAGAAGAATTCAGGAAAATAATACAAGAACAAAACTCCCAAATAAATAAACAATTAGAAATCATACAAAAACAGCAACTAGAAATCCAAAAGATAAACAATTTCAGAAATGGACAACTCAACAGAAGGCCTTAGGAGCAAATCTGAAACAATGGAAGACGGAATCAGTGAGACTGAAGACAAATCCATGGATGCCACTTTGAGGAAAAATCAGAAAAAAGAATGAAGAAAACCTAAGAATTATGTGGGACAAAAATCAAAAGCCAAAATATGCTCATGATCAGAGTTCTAGGACAGGGGAGAAAATGGAAAACAGAGAAGACTGTTGAAGATTTGCTGGCAGAAAACTTCCCAAATATCACAAAAGACAAAAAGCTCACCATCCAAGAAGTTCAACAAACCCATATAGGACAGACCCCAAAAGAAAGTCACCAAGACATATCATAATCACACTTGCCAAAACCAAAGCCAAAGAAAGAATCCTAAGAGTAGCTTGAGAAAAATGAAAAGTCAAGTACAAAGGGGAAACAATAAGACTGAACTCTGATTACTCGGTAGAAACTATGCAGACAAGAAGGCAATCGGATGACATATATAAAATCTTTAAAGAAAAAAAACTGCCAAACAAGAATAATATATCCTGCAAAACTCTCTCTCAAACAACAATGGCAAAATTAGTACATTTACCAATAAACAGAAATTAAAGGAATTCATAAAAGCCAAACCAAACTTACAAGAAATATAAAAGTGAGTCCCTCAGTTAGAGAACCAACAATATCAGACAACCTGAGTCTAGGACATAGGACAGCATCAGCCAGATAGCAACCTGGGTAAAGAACTCTCAATAATAAAACAAAGCTAAAAGACTTAAAACAAGGAACCAGAGACATCAATCTGCAAATGACGACAATGTCAAAACAATAAAAATGGGAATAAATGGAGTAGGTATAGAAATTTCAAATGGAGAGGAAGTCAAGGCAATATCAAGTAATATAAGACTGGTTCAAACTTAGGAAGATAAGGGTAAATTTCAAGGTAACCACAAAGAAAGTTAACAAACCTACTCATCAAAATAAAATAAGAAGAAAAACATATAGTCTCAGTAAACACAAAATCTGTAACAACAAAAGAAAACAAAATCCACAAATAAAAGGAAGTCAGTACAGGAAAGTAAAAGGAACAAAGAAAACGTAAGTACCACAAAAAAGCACAACAATATGACAGCATTAAACTCATACCTATCCATAATCACGCTGAATGTAAATGGCTTAAATGCACCAGTAAACTGACAAAGAGGCGTGAATGGATTATAAAAAAAAAACAATATGCTGTCTATAAGAGTACTTTAGACACTTTAGACATAAGACATAAATATATTAAAAATCAAAGGATGAAAAAATATACCAAGCAAACAGTAACAACAAAGAGCAGGAGTAGCAATACTAATCTCAGATAAAATAGACTTTAAGGTAAAATCAACCATAAAACACAAGGAAAGAGATTACATAATGATTAAAGTGACAATCCACCAAGAAGACATAACCTTAATAAATATCTACACACTCAACAGGGCTCCAAAATACATAAAACAAACTCTAACCGCACTGAAAAGAGAAGTATCAACAGTTCTACAGTAATAAGACACCACTCTCAGTAAAGGACAGAACATCTAGAAAGAAACCCAACAAAGATACAGAAGATCTAAAGGTCACAATCAACCAACTTGACCTCATAGACATATATGAACACTCCACCCAATAGCAACAAAGTATACATTCTTTTCCAACACACATGGAACATTCTCCGGAATAGCCTACATTGTAGGCCACAAAGCAACCCTCAATAAAATTGAAAACATCAAAATAAAGCAAAGCATTTTCTCTGATCATAACGCCATAAAAGTAGAAGTCAATAACAGAAAGAGCAAAGAAAAAAAAATCAAATACATGGAAACTGAATAACATCTTGCTTAAAAACAACTGGGCAACAGAAAAAATCAAAGAGGGAATAAATTCCTAGAATCATATGAGAATGAAAACACATCATACCAAAACCTTTGATACACAGCAAAGGCAGTGCTCAGAGATAAATTTATAGCAATAAACACACACATCAAAAAAAAACAGGCCAAAATCAAAACATTAGCCACACAACTTGAACAAAGAGAAAGACAACAGCATAAGAAGCCCACAGCCACCAGAAGAAAGGAAATAATAAAAATTAGAGGATAAATAAATAAAATAGGGAACAGAAAAAAAATAGAATCAGCAAGACCAAAAGTTGGTTCTTCGAAAAAATCAACAAACCACTGACTAAACTGACAAAAGAAAAACAGAGGAAACAAATAACCCAAATAAGAAATGAGACAGAGGACATTACAACAGACCCAACTGAAATAAAAAGGATCCTAACAGAATACCATGAAAAATTGTACTCCAACAAATTTGAGAACCTAGAGGAATCAGACAAATTTCGAGAAACACAGTCTACCTAAACTAACACAAACTGAGAGAGAATATCTGAATAGCCCCATAACAAGAGAAGAGATTGAAGAGGTAATAAAAAAAAACTACCACCAACAACAAAAAAACCCTGGCCCAGACAGCTTCACTGGAGAATTCTACCAAACATTCAGAGAAGAGCTCACACTAGTACTATTCAAACTATATTACAGCACAGAAAAGGAAGGAATACTCCCAAATTCATTCTATGAAGCCAGCATAACCCTGATACCAAAGCCAGGCAAGGACACCACAAAAAAAGAAAATTACAGAGCAATAACTATCATGAATATGGATGCAAAAATTCTCTACAAAATTCTATCCAATAGAATTCAGCATCATATCAAAAAAATAATACACAATGACAAAGTGGGATCCATGCCACGTATGCAAGGATGGTTCAACATTAGAAAATCAATCAATATAACCCACCACATAAATAGAACAAAAGAAATGAATCACATGATCACTTCAATCGATGCAGAAAAGGCATGTGATAAAGTCCAACACCCACTCCTAATAAAAACTCTCAATAAAATAGGAATAGAAGAGAAATTCCTCAATGTAATAAAGGGCACCTATATAAAACTAACAGCTGACATCATTCCCAATGGAGAGAGGCTGAAAGCATTCTCCCTAAGAATGGCAGCAAGACAATGATGCCCTTTATAACCACTCCTATTTAACACTGTGCTGGAAGTCCTAGCTAGAGGAATAAGGAAAGAAAAAGAAATAAAGGGCATCCAAATTGGAAAGGAAGAAGTAAAACTGCCTCTATTCACAGATTATATGATACTATACATAGAAAGAAAACCCTGATGGCATACTGGTTAAGAGTTACAGCTGGTAACCAAAAGGTCAGCAGTCTGAATCCACCAGGTGCTCCTCTGAAACTGTATGGGGCAGTTCTACTCTGTCCTGTAGGGTCGCTATGAGTAGGAATCTACTCGACAGAAATGGGTTTTTATACATAAAAGAACTCCAAAGATTCCACAAGAAAACTACTGGAACTAATAGAAAGATTGAGCAGAGTAGAAGGAGACAAGATCAACATATGAAAATCAGTTGGATTCCTATACACCAACAAAGAGAACTTCGAAAAGGAAATCAGGAAAACAATACCATTTATAATAGCCTCTGAAAAGATAAAATGTTTAGGAATAAATCTAACCAGGTACATAAAAGATGTATACAAAAAAACTATAAAATGCTACTCTAAGAAACCAAGAGACTTACATAAATGGAAAAACATACCATGCTCATAGATAGGAAGACTCAACACTGTGAAAATGTCGATTCTACCCAAAGCAATCTACAGATATAATGCAATCTCAACGAAATACCAACACCACTCTTTAATGAGATGGAAAAACTAATGACGAACTTTATATGGTGTCTTAGTTATCTAGTGCTGCTATAACAGAAATACCACAAGTGGATAGCTTTAACAAAGAGAAATTTATTCTCTCACAGTCTAGGAAGCTAGAAGTCTGAATTCAGGGTGTCAGCTCCAGGGGAGAGCTTTCTCTGTCAGCTGTGAGGGAAGGTTCTTGTCATCAATCTTCCCCTGGTCTAGGAGATTCTCAGAGCAGGGACCCCAAGTCCAAAGGATGTGCTTCGCTCCCAGCTCTTCTTTCTCAGTGGTATGAAGTCCCTCTCCTCTCTACTTGATTCTCTTTTATATCTCAAAGCGATTGACTCAAAATGTAACCTAATCCTGTAGACTGTGTCCTGCCTCATTAATACAACTGCCTCTAATCCTGCCTCGTTAATATCACAGAGATTAGAATTTACAACACATAGGATAATTACTTCAGATCACAAAATGGAGGACAACCACACAATACTGGGAATCATGGCCTAGCCAAGTTGACATACAACCTTAACCATAACATATGGAAAGGAAAGAGGCCCCAGATAAGTAAAGCATTACTGAAGAAAAAGAACAGAGTAGGAGGCCTCACACTATCAGATCTCAGAACCTACTATATGGCCATGGTAGTCAAAGCAGTCTGGTACTGGTACGACAACAGATACAGAAACCAATGGAACAGAATCAAGAACCCAAGCATAAATCCATCCATCTATGGTCAGCTGATCTTTGACAAAGGACCAAAGTCTGCTAACTGGGGAAAAGACAGTCTTTTTAATAAATGCTGTGGGCAAAACCAGATGTCCGTCTGTAAAAAAATGAAACAGGACCCATACCTCACACCATACACAAAAACTAACTCGAAATGGATCAAAGACCTAAATATAAAACCTAAAACAATAAAGATTATGGAAGTAAGGAATAGGGACAATGCTAGGGGCCCTAATACATGGCATAAATAGGATACGAACCATAACTAACAATGCACAAACACCAGAAAATAAACTAGATAACTGGGAGCTCCTAAAAATTAAACACTTATGCTCCTCAAAAGACTTCACCAATAGAGTAAAAAGAGAACCCACAGACTGGGAAAAAAATTTTTGGCTATGACCATATCCGACAAGAGTCTAATCTCTAAAATCTATAGAATACTTCAACACCTTAACAACAAAAAAGTAACCCAATTAAAAAATGAGCAAAGGATATGAACAGACCCTTCATCAAAGAAGACATTCAGGCAGCTAACAGACACGAGGAAATCCTCTCGATCACTAGCCATTAGAGAAATGCAAATCAAAACTACACTGAAATATCATCTCACTCTGACATTACTGGCACTAATTAAAAAAAGAGAAAATAACAAGTGTTGGAGAGGTTGTGGGAAGACTGGAAATCTTATGCACTGCCACAAGGAATGTAAGATGGTCCAACCGCTATGGAAAACAATACGGTGCTTTCTTAAAAAGCTAGAAATACCATACAATCCAGGAATCCCACTCCTAGGAATATATCCTAGAGAAATAAGAGCCATCACACAAAGAGACATATGCACACCCATGTTCACTGCAGCATTATTCACAACAGCAAAAAGATGGAAACAACCTAAGTGCCCATCAACAGATGAATAGATAAACAAATTATTGCACACACACACTGGAATACTACTCAACAATAAAGAACAATGATGAATCCACGGAACATCTCACAACATGGAGGAATCTGGAGGGCATTATGCTGAGTGAAATAAATCAATCACAAAAGCACAAATATTTTATGAGACTACTATTATAAAAACTCAAGAAAAGGTTTACACACAGAAAAAACAATCTTTTATGGTTACAAGGGGTGGGGAGGGGATATCATTAACTAGACAGTAGACAAGTGTTAACTTCGATGAAGGAAAAGACAACACCCAATATAGGGGAATTCAGCACAGCTCGACCAAGGCAAAGTCATAGAAGCTTCACAGACGCATCCAAACTCCCTGAGGGACCGAGTTTCTGGGGCTGAGGGCTGGGGACCATGGTCTCAGGGAACATCTAGGTCAACTGGTATAACAAAGTTCATACAGAAAATGTTCTATGTACAACTTTGGTGAGTAGCGTCCAGAGTCTTAAAAGCTTGTGAGTGGCCATCTAAGATACATCTATTGGTCCCATCCTGTCTGTAGCAAAGAAAAATGAAGAAAGCCAAAGACACAAGGAAAATATTAGTCCAAAGGACTAATGGACCACACAAACCTTAGCCTCCACCACCCTGAGCCCAGAAGAACTAGATGGTGCCCGGCTACCACCACCGACTGCTCTGACAGGGATCACAATAGAGGGTCCTGGACAGAGTAGGAGAAAACTGTAGAATAAAACTCAAATTCTCAAAAAAAATCAAAAAAAAAAAAAAAAAAAAACACTTACTGGTCTGACAAGAGACTGGAGGAACCCCTGAGACTATGGACCCTGGATACCCTTCTAACTCAGAACAGAAGCCACTCCCAAAGTTCACCAAAGATTAGACAGGCCTATAAAACAATAACACGTGAGGAGCATGCTTCGTAGTTTAGTCAAGCGTACAAGACCAAACAGGCAACACCTGCCCGAAAGCAAAGATGAGAAATCAAGAAAGGACAGGAAAACAAATGGACATGGGGAACCTGGGGTGGAAAGGGGGAGGGTGCTGACACATTGTGGGGATTGTAACCAGTGTCACAAAACAATTATACATTTTTGAATGAGAAACTAATTTTTGCTGTAAACTTTCACCTAAACCACAATAAAATTAAAAAGAAAAGAAAGCCCAAATGTAAATCTGCTAGTAAAGGACAAACCAATTTCCTCTTACCTCAAGCAGAAGGTCATCTAAGTTTTGATGGCTTCTCAGCAGGTGCAATGCTGCTTCCTTTAACTTCTGTTCCCTTTCGGGATTGAATTTTTGCCTTTTAACTCTTCCCTCTAAGGAGGAAAAATCAGTAAAAAAATCACAGCACTACTTAAAACGTCATGCAACAAGACATGATGACATCAGGTACCCCTGATACGGGGCACTGAGGACCCATGTGGCTTCTGTGGTATTTTTCCCAAAAATGCCTACCTCAATCAAATCGGGAGGAAGCATCAGACAAACCCAATTGAGGGACATCCTACAAAGTAACCAGTACTTTTCAAAAACGTGTCAAGGTCACGAAAGAAGAGGAAAGACGGGTTAACTATCAGACAGGAGGAGCCTGAGGAAACAAGAGGACCAGCCGCAACGTGGGATCCTGCAGCAAAAAGGGGGATGAGGGGAAAACTGGCAAAATTCGAAAGAAGTCTGCAGTTGAGTGAGCAGCACTGCACCAAAGTTAATTTCTGGAACTGATAACTGTTTGCTAACTGAAGAGCAAATGATTTCATGTGGTTCCAGTGACAACTTAAATTTAATGCTTTAGTGCCATCGAGTACAACTGGGCTGACATTTTGGGTAAAACTTAAATCTCCAGTTTGTAGGGTAGGATAGTGTTTCTTGAATTATTAATTTGAAGATTGGGGAATGCGACACGGTTTTGGGGTGGCTGCTGAGGAGGAGATTGGTGGGGGGCCGGGGGATAGGGAGCAAGGAGAGGGAAATCCAAGCAGTGTGGGGGCGGACAGCAAACACTAGCGCGCTGGGCTCACTCCCGCGAGGGCGCGGCGCGGTGCCAGGCGTGCGGAAGCTGGCGTGGGAAGGAGTTTCGGGGCCCGGGAAGAACTGCCGCGTGCTCAGAGGGAAACTGCCGGAAGCCCGCGCCCACCTACCCAGCAGCTCGCACCAGGACCTCCTGAGGGGTCGCCGGCCCAGACAGGAGCCGGCGCCGGGCGCCCGGGAATCCGACATGACGTGATCCCAACCGCTACCGACTGGCGCGCGCGGCGCCGAGCCCGCGCTGCCCTCCCATTGGCCGCGGCCAGGCGCGCGAGCCCATTGGCTGGGGCTGCCGGACCTCACCCCTCTAAGGGCGGAGGCCTTCCGCCGCGGTCATCTTGGTCATGGAAGGAGCTAGGGGCTCGCGGAACGGTAGATTTGCGGATCAGGGCTGGTGGCGCGGATTCCGAACAGCAACCCTTGCGAGAAAACGGTGACATCCCTTATGTAGTGTTGCTGCCGAGAATGACCCAGAGCTGGTAATAAAGACACAATCTGACAAACCCAAACGGCATGCGACAAAACCACGGTCTCTTCATAAAGACAGGCCGGGCCAACCAGAATGAGACAGACCCCACCAGGACCAGCATTTGACCAAAAAGTCCCACCGCACTCATTGTCAACTGAGCTGTTGTCGAGGGAAAGAAATCTATGGGTTTGTCTTCCACTCCAGATAATTCTCCTGCTACTCTACTTATCCTTGCCCTCTGCCCTCCCAAAACTAAGGCATCAGGAGAAATAGGTAAATCTGGAAAAGAGTAACCTAAACCAGGCGGGTCCCCCCCCACAACACCCCTCTTGATGCCTGTGTCCTGCCACCATCCGTCCCACCTCCTCCTGGCCCCACACCTGCTCAACACCTGGATTTCTCCATCCTGACACTTCTGCTCAGCGTGTGGGGACACTGCCCTCATCCATGACAATCTTTGTATGAAAATGACTAAGAATGGAGGAAAGAATGTGAAGATGAATTTTTCCTTGATGCTGACCAAGGTCCCAGCAAATATTTGGGACAAAAGTGAGGCTCTTAGATAAGATTCTGAACCACAGATATTTATAGCTGAGAATCTATAAAAGCCCCGACCTCAGGGGAGGCCTTTCAGTCTCCAACTCCATCCCTCAGCAGATGGTCACCCCAGCTCTGATACCAGCCCTTTCTTTGCCTCAGGATCAATCGTGATGCCCCCACAGTGGTAGACATGTCCCTGGTTGGTGTAAGAGTGATTGTTTGCATCACATGTAGCCCAGCGAACACTCTTTTTTGGGACTGGTGATGTCCTGAATGGGCCTGGGTCTCATGGGAGGGTGAGGACAGTGAGAAGACTGTGGACTCATGAAGCCACCCAGGAGGAGTGCTCTAGAGTTGACTGTGATAGTGGGAATAAAGGCTAGGTGAACAAGGGGAACAGACCAGATCATAAAAGGAACAGTGGCCACGTGTCATTCTCAAGGCGCAGCACAAAGACAAATCTGGGTTGAGGAGAGCCAGAAAGACCCCTGGTGAAAGCAAGGGCCCTGTTGCAAATTTTATTCCAAATAGCTAAGTTTCCTCCCACTCTGGCTGTGCCCCTGACATCACCTAGGAAAACACTGCAGAGCTGTCTGCTTTATACACATTTTTAGATTATTTGAGAGGGAGGGTTTCTTAAGTTTTGGGGAACACCATTTCCATTTGGCCATGAGTCAGAGAAAAGTCTTCTCTCATGCTGCTGACTTGGATGGAGCCCTGATTGTCTTAATGATTTTAATTAGCAATAAAATCAGACTTAACTCATGTTCTCCTAATGCTTGCCAAATTCCAAGGTGTAGACATAACAGGTCCCTCTTCTTCGAAATCACTAAACAACATTCTGTAAGCAAGTGTAATTACTAAAGAGCTTTATAGAAAGCACCAGCACATAGAAGCAGGTTTGTCTACTAGTCTGGAATGATGCGGTGCTCAGAGTTAACTCAGGCAATCACAGACCTCAGCACCCCACCTCTGCAGGCAGCCTGCTCTCTGAATCCCGGACATCCTCAGCCTATGTTTGCTGGGTCGGTTCTGTGCTTGAGGACATTGTTGGTGGCTGTTCTGGTAATATGACCTGTGGATGGCTTCAGTGCACACTTCATATTTTCTACAACAACACCAATACTCTTTTTCTATCACTGGAGGTGGTTGTGTTGATCTCTGATTGCAAGAAAAATTGGCCGAAGGTCTTCTGTGCCTAGGTGTGACTCTTCTAATCAGGAAGGTATTAGGTTTGGGAGAAGAAATAGAATTTGTAAGATCCTTCACTGCTAAGTGCCCAGACTGTTCGGGAAGCGACCAAGCCAAGGAACACCTTTGTACCTTGGTTTCTCCATTTGTAAAACCAGCCCAGCAGATGCTGTCTTAGTCTCCTAGGGCTGCTATACCAAAGAAACCCACAAACTGGGTGGCTCATAAGAATAGAAGTTTACTGTCTCAGTTCTGGAGGCCAAAAGTCTAAATCAGTGTCTCGGCCATGTTGATTCCTTCTGAGGCTTTGAGAGGGGAACTGTTCCATGTCTCTCTCCAGCTTCTAGTGGCTACTAGCAATCCTTGATGTTCTTAACTTGCATCTGCATCTGCCTCCTTCATCACATAGCATCCTTCCTCTGTCTCTCTGTGTGTCTTCTCTTTTATAAAGATACCACACATACAGGATTAGGAGCTACCCTATACCAGTATGACCTCATGTTAAAAACCAAAACCATTGCTGTCAAGATGATTCTGACTCAGCAATCCTATAGGACAGAGTAGAACTGCACCATACGGTTCCCAAGGCTGTAATCTTTATGGAAGCAGACTGCCACATCTTTCTCCTGCAGAGCAGCTGGAGGATTCAAACCACTGACCTGTATCCATTAGCAGCCGAGTGCTTAACTACTGTGCCACCAGGGCTTCTTAACCTCATGTTAACCTAACTGATAACATCTTCAAAGATCCTAGTTCCAAACAAGGTCACACTCACAGGTACAGGAGGGGTTAGGACTTCAACTCATCTTTTTGGGGTATATGATTCAATCCACAACAATCACCCAGGAGTTTCCCTGGGAGGATGAGGTATCCTGCTGATGTCTGTACACTTTGAGGGGAGCATGTGAAAGTACAGAGCTTTGTGGCCAGGGCCAAGTATGACCTGTAGTGCTGGAACCAGAGCTGAGGGCTGCTGAGACCCACAGAGGAGACTTGCACAAAGGAGATTCGATTTACCCTGAGATGCTCACTGTCTGAGAGGACGGGCTGGTCCAGGCAAGTTGACTGTGCATTTTCCCGAAATTCTACAGCATTCATGCTCACGGCCACATAGCAGGCTGCCAAAACCAACACCTATCTCCGATCTAGAAGAAACGATTTCTATGGAATTAGTGCTTTTGCCACTCAACCACTCAATCACATTTAAAAGCGGCATTGTCCGAAATTCCTAGAGTACAGTTTATGAAGAGGGAGATGGAGGCAGGTGGGAAAAGGAGAGGTATGTGAGTGCTGGCAAGAATAGGGGAGAGTCTGCTGCTGAAATCCTTTTATAGTATCTGCTACTCAGCCCAACTAGAGAAAACCGTACCAGAAAGTTTAACGCTGTGTGCACACATGCACACATGCTGTGCACACACACAAACATGCCATGCACACGTGCAGATGTGAACACAGTGCACAGGTGCGTGCACACACTATTCACACTCACATGCCATGCACACACATAGTTATTCAGTGAAATCTTGCTTCTCCTTTCCCCTCCTGGCAGAATTATTCATCAGTGGCAGACGGAGGAGGGAGGAGGTGGATTGAAGTGTTAGTGCTGCAGTAACATAAAGATGCTGTATTCCCTGAATTCAGCCACCCAGTAGACAGATGTCCTGAGACTGTCTATGAAAAGAAGGGAGGGAACTCAAGAAATGCTCAGAATGGCCAAGGTCATTATTAAATGAGAGCGAGGGAGCCTGGACACTGTCTTCTTCTCCTTCCTATTCCTTTTCCTCATTCTAATGAAGCAGCTGCCAACACAAGAAACTGGAGTAGGAAAGGAGGGCTGGAGCTTGAACTTGAGTTTATAAAAGGACCAGAGTCAGTCTCCCTCACCTAGAAGGTGAGACTATTTGTTGTGGGTAACCAGGGCCACTTTGCATGTCAAAGAGACAGAATTTAGCTAGAAAGACCCAAAAGGGAAGAGAGCAGATTTGGCAGAAGAAAACATTCAACAAGTGCCTGATACAATGGGTCAGGCACAGCCAGTCCTCTGTTATCAGAAGTGCCACACACCTTTTGGAGACCAGGACCTGCACAAGCACAGGGGATGATCTGGCTGTGAATCTAATTCTAACCTAATTCTCACTCTCAGCAGCAACCCAGGAAGTGGAAAGTTTCCAACCCATCAACATAAAAATTCAAACCACTAAAGCATTGTGCAACCATCACTACTATCTAATCTTTTCCCAACAAGAAGAAAAAAAAAACATAAATTACAAAATGCTAACTTTTCTTGAATCCCTTAAAAGCAAATAGCCTGACATCTTAGGAAAGACGCCTCCTCCAAGGAGATGAGGCAAAAGCACTGGCTCACCTAGAGTACAGAAAGAGGAGATAGCAGGTGCTACACTTACAGGTAGGAAGAATTCAGATAGTTTTTTTAAACAAATTGCTAAAGGCCAAGTGCAAGCTAGTGTGAGACTATAGAGTCCCTGGGAGCCACAAACACCAGGCCATTTGGTGCCCACTTGCATGCTCACCTCCACATACTTCCTCCAGGAACTCATGAGAAAGACTAGGGGCAGGAGGAAATGCCTGAGAAAGTCTCCCCAGCGTTCATGCCTGGAGAAGCGGAGCAGTTACCTCTACCTTCTAGCATGAAGCCCATTGGGCCCTTCTGTCAAAGGGAAGTCTTAAGACACTAGGGGTGGGGCAGCAAACCCTGCTGCCCTCAGGGCAAAGTAAAGACTCATTGTGGCTGAGGAAGGGTTCCAAAAAAAACCCATCTGCCCCTGGCGGGTGGGGCAAGACTCATCTTGGGCCCAGATCATTAGAGGTCTCCTATATCAATTCTATTTCTGAGAATTTATACTGCACACACGGAAAAGGAGAGGTATCAATTGCACTCCTACCATGTGCTAGGCACTGTACAAGGTACTAGCGCACAGCAGCGATTGAGCAAACAAAATCCTTGCCCTGGTGAAGTTTACGATATGTACAATGTTATTCATT